AAAAAGTTGATATTACTGTCATCAAGTACCAAATAGGAAACGGAGGCTCAGTAACATTTTAACAACTTGCCCAAGGCTTCCTGCTTATCAAGCAGAGAGAGTCAGATTCAGACCAAGTTTTTCGATTCTTAAAGCCTGTGCTTATCTCAGATGATATGTCTTTTTCATAGTGCACCACTTCCTTGACTATAAAACATTCTAGAAATACTGGACTTTGTCATTTGTACCCAATTTGGAAAATAAGATTATTTTATTATACTTTATTAAGTATTTGAAAACAAACACTTTACAAATGGCACAACATCTCTGTTAAATTGATCATGAAATTGTTCCATGCTGATTTAGGGTGAATGAAAGTGAATGGTACAGTTATTGATTATTATGGCTGGTTCTTATTGCCACATGCTATTTCAGGCTTGATCCTGAAAGGCATATTGATGCCAATTGCAACTTTCAACGTGGTTTTGCCATTCCTTCCCTGACCAACAAGAGAGAGCAAAGAAAATATAGACCATGTTTATATCCATAGTCATTTTCATAGGAGATCTGTAAAGATGTCCTTTTTGAAATAGAAGTCATCTTCCAGATAAGATCAAATTCAGGCAAATTGAATTTTTATTTACTTTGACATAGATTGGAATCAGTGATGTGACTTTTTCCCCCATCCTGTGCAGAGACAAGGAAGAAAATCGTCTTACTAAATTTTCTTGACTTTTTTGAAAGTGTTCAGTATCTTTCTTTTTTGGAAAGAGCAACAGGGTGTTATGACACTGAGCTCTGACTCTACAATTGAAATATTTACACTTAGAATCTAATGCTCCTAATGAATTTTGATAGGGCAAAACATTGAATTCCTATGTTGAACAACTTGTTCATTCATTCGACAATTGTGTGTTGTGTGCCTACTACATAAGAGACCCTATTCTAGATGGAACAGCAGGGAAAAAGCAAGACCACTGTTTTCATCAGGCTTACATTCTAGCAGGGGGAAGATAGACAAGGGAAACTTAGCATGTAACTTGTCGGGAATATTATGGTTTGCTGTAGAGATAGGAAGGATGGGCTGGGAATGAGAAGTGAGCAAGGTGGCGTGTTTTAAAAGATAGTTTCCAAGGACGTCTTCTCTGATAAAGTGACTTTTAACAGGGACCTGAAAAAGTGAAATGGCTACCTACGTGAAGAGCTTCCCTGGGTGTCAGGAACAGCAAAGTTGAGGGCTGTAGGTTTAAAGTGTGCAGTGAGTTTGAAGAATAGCACAGGAGACGGGTGTGGCCAAAGTGAGGTGGGAACAGGTTGGTGTTGACAGAGGAGGAAGGGAAAACCAGATGACTCAAGGGCCTGGGGGCCATTGCAAGCTTTGGGCTTCTGTCTGCAGTTGGATGAGAAGACTGGAGGCTTGTTAGCAGCACTTATGATTTAATTTTAATTTGATATGACCAAGTCTGTGTTGGGTACAAAATTAAATGTGTATACAAGAGCAGAGGGAGACAAAGAGATCGATTGTGAAAAAAAGACAATACATTTGGGAATTGGTGGTCAGGAGTGGAAATAACAAGAAATTGAATTTTAGGTATATTTTGAAGGTAGAGGCAAAAGAATTTTCTATGACATGGGAAGGAAAAAGAAGTTTCAAAGAAGACTCCCAGATTTTTCTTCTAAGCAAGTGGAGTAATGGAATTTCCATTTACATACATAGAGAAAATACGGACAGAGGATATTTTGTATGGAACATGTTAAGTGTAGAATGACTATAGGACATTTAAGTGGAAATGTTATGTAGCAAGTTATGTAAGTATGAGACTGGAAGGTAGTCTAGGTTAGGGATTAGAATTTGGGTGGTTTTTAAAGTTTAAAGACTGGATCTGACTGATTTAGAACTTAGTGTAGATAAAGAAGAGATTTCCAGTTATGATATAAAACACTCCAACATTTTAAGATTTAGCAGATAATGAAGAACCAGAAAAAGAGTTTTTGAAAATTATCTATTTATACAGTAAGTAGAAATCACACACACACACACACACACACACACACACACACACACACAGAGTCTCCTTTCCTAAGAAACCTGAGTGAAGAGGTAGGAGACACTCTCTGAGGAAGAATGATGCTGAGTTTTTCATAATCTATTAAAAACTACAAGGAAACCCTGGCAGAAAAATGGCATCTCTGCTCCGTCTTGGTTGAACAAATAATTCACTTTGGAATTTGGGGTGAAGCACGTGATCTGAATGGGCAAAGATGGCAATGCAGTTTAAAAAGGAGATACAGATAAACTTTCATGATTGTCTTCTTGTGTCTGTTAATACACTACACGCTCTTTGAAAAATAAAAACTTTAGCAACTGTGCAAAGAAAGAGTACAAAATGCATCTATCATTACACCAATCAATGAGATACCTGCTGTTAACATTGTGGTGCACTTTTTTTTTTTCATGCACATGTGTATACTAACGACATTTAGGATTTTATTGTATGTACATTATTATAGTCTGCTATTTGATATAATATCAAAGATTTTTTGAAAATTCATTTTTCATGGTGTTTTGGTGAGAGAAGGGAGATGATTGGAGAGAAGAATGCGCTAGTGTGAGCAATGTCTTGTCCAATGTCACTGAATAAAGTGGGATGGTGACAGTGTGTATGTACAAGAGAAATAACAAAATGACTCTGGATTCTCAGTCGTGGTAACTGATGTAGTGACTATGTTGCCCATAGGACCAAGATGGTGATACTGACTTTGCTTATTTTTTTATGTCAGGATGGATTCCGGAGTTTCCTCTTATACAGATGGGGGATTGTTTGCTTTCCTTACTAGATATAGCAGCAACCTCAAGGGAAGAATGTTTGGGAACATTCTGGCTACCCATGTAAATGGGCAATGAAATTAATTTGTGACACAAAGTAGATTGTTTGAATAATTTACTTGGCTTGGCTTGCCTCACAGCTGACAAGAAAAATAGTCATCATTCTCCTCTAGTTTGCATTTTTGTGGGAGATACAGTCAAAACACACCAGCAAGATTTCATGTAGCAACTTTCCCCATAAGTCCGTGAAAATGTTGAAAAATCATCCAGATTTACCAGTAAAATACTAAGAGCATAACCACGACAAGATCATTTCTCCCATTGACATGTCTCATGGCACGAATCACCTCTAAAGTAAGTATTGGATATGATTAGATTCATAAGATATTGGTAAAACCAGAGTCAATGAAAGTCCTCTTAAAATTGATAAGATCAATAGAAATACTATCCCTTTATAAACTTTTGCCATCATTAAGTAAAATATGTCTCTGTGTTTCTGTGTATCTCAAGCTCTCTCTTCCTACAGATAGGTTCTTGACTGGTGTGCTCAATTGGCTGGAGAATGGGACTTGACAAGGTCAAGGTCACACTTTCTGCTGGCCACAAAGAAGCAGAAAACTATGTCATAGCCATCAATAGCACCAGGAATCCCACACAGACGTTTCGTGGATATGTGCTCTTGGTCACATAGGAGATTTAGAGAGAGAGAGTTTAGCTGGTTCAGTAACATCCATTACATTGTTATGAAAAGCAGACACACAACTTCAGGCACAGATGCCACCCGCTATGGGGCAGCGATTTCAACTTTTCATGAGAATAGCAGTATATACACAGAAGCTCATAAATGCACAAACTTGATTGCATCAGAAAAAAGCAAAAGCCCCACTTAGCCTTAATTCCATTATTTAGCTAAAAACAAACACACAGCAATTATCTTTCACTTTTGTTTCTAGTTAATACTGCATTAATACCAAAGTTGTAGACTTAATTGAAGAATACTACATTCTTTTACATAAATGCTAGTATTTTTTTTGTATCTTTACCATTCAATATAACCAAATCAATGCATAAGAACACAAAGTTTTTCAAAATAGAAAGTGATATCTTTACATCTCAGAGTTTGTGAAGTCCATCGGAGAAATAAGACAACATTACCGAGGATTCATTCACTACGTTGCTGCCACTTCACAGGGAGGGTCATGTGCAATGACAAAGATTGAAAGTTGCACCACAGATCAAGTTAGGGAAACACAGGTTTCTGATCATTGCACTTTTGCTTCAAAGATCTCAGCCTGTGATTTCCTGACATTTCCTATTCCGATGGAGCTCTACCAATCCCACATAAAGTACAAAGCAGTGTAAGTGCCTCTGCAAATCTACTCATTATCCACTAGACTTGGAACCCAACTGCCCCTCTCATCTTTCAAGGAGAATTGTGCTTTTATGCTGTTCATTTAAAAAAAAAAAAAAAAGGTAAAAACGTCAAGACCATAACCTCTAACGAATCGCATTTACATCTGCAGCCCCGGCAATTGTTCAAAAGCAAGAGCAGACACAGAGAGAAAGCCCCTTCTTCAGTCTAAAACTCTTAATCTCCTTTAGCAAAACCTTTAATACAAACAGTGTGGATCAGCCTTTCAATATGCAAGATGGACGAAGGTACCCAATTTCCTTCTATGATAGATTAAACCCCAAATAGTTCTTTATGAGGGAAATCCATCATAATCTTCCAATTTCTCCTTTAAAAACCACACTCTGAGTACCAAAAGCACATTGACCATGGCACTAAAAATATTTACCTAACAGGTTTCAGGAGCCTCCTCTTTATTTTTTTGGACCTTTATGCCTCCCACCCGCCAAAGTCTTCACTCAACCCTCCCACTAGCCCCGCTGGCACCACAGATAAGAAGCAAACTGTTTTCTCCGTGACCTCTAAGCATTCTACTCAATGGGAAAAGCAACGTGGAATGCACACTCAGCAGGCTATGAGCCAGCCTGGAGCTGGTTCGTCCTCGAGGCATTTCTGTCATAAAACATAATACCCTCCACTGTGTTTTGCTCTAAGCAGACCGTCTCCCACTCCCCTTCCTGCTTCTCACTCGCACCTGGCTGCAATTCGTGACCCACACAGCACAGAGCAAACAAAAAGCACGGAAACAGCAACAGATTCCTTTGTTTTACATGCAAATCCTACCTCCGGTAGTTGTCACATCTTCCTCAAAAGCCACGCTTAATTTTTAATGACAGCGATCCAGTGCAGTCTTCCAAATAGCCACCGTAATCATCATTACCTCTCGTGCCTAAAGCCTTTGTAGACCATTAATGTCACAACCCTTGCTAACTCATAGCTTTAATACTCCTTGCTCAAAATGTCTGAAAGAGTTTGGAAGGACAATAGGAGTGACAGGCACGCTAGACAGCCATGCTTAAAATTAGTTGTCCGAAGCTCCGTTGAAGCTGCTTCATACTGTTTTTAAAGCGTGCAGGAGGTAGGATTTATTAGCCTATGATAGGCATGCTGTTTCTGTTTTTATTAAATACTGTAATAGGCTGTCTGTTAGCAATGCTGTGATAGGTCCAGCATCACTTCCCCACTGCTTTCGAATTCTCATATTAAAAAGGGAGAGAGGGCTCAGACTTCCTTCCCACAGACAACACCCTGCCTACTGGATCAGATTTCCAAATCCTCTGTAAGTACAGGAGAAAGAACTTTTGTAAATAGGTTTTTCTACATGGAAAGTGAACTTGAGAATAAATGCTATTGGATTTTCTTCCTCCTAGCAAGGAGATCCCCGCTCTTCCCAATTACAAAAATAAATGATCTCTAGAGTTAGGTAAGAGAATCAATCAAATAAGAAAAGTTCTCATCAATTACTGAGATATGATTTATGAGATATGTTTACATGAAATCTCAAATTATGTATCAAATGGACTGAATAGACCAATGAGCGCATTAAGTTATTATTACAAGCTGATTTATGAAACTTTTGCTTCTCATTTGAAGTATGCACTACTGTCAGACAGGAAAGAATGAGGGGTGGGTAGAAGAGGTGCGGATGTGTACACTACCTGGATCCATTTTGTACAGTCGTAATAATGGTAGATGAAAGGGGGATTTCTTACCATTGTCCAGCGAAGAGGGGATTGTGTGTCTAGAAATGCTACTCTGAAAAGTTGTAAGCACCTTTCCAAAAGGGAAGCAGAAAAAGTTCTTGGTGGCTCACAGTAACATAGAAAATGCTTTATATTCTAAGTACCCATATATAGTCCTTTCTTTCTGCTTTTATTTCTCCCTTCCTGCGACCCCAAGTGCAGTACTTTTGTAGTAGTTACTATGGAAACTGAGTGGTCTGCTCCTGGGGAGGGGCTTAGAGAGAGTGGCAGATGTAATATGGATGAAAATGTGGTGTACTGTCCTATAGAACTGAAAAAGAACAGTGATTAACAAACAAACAGAAAACCTACTGCAAATAAACTCCTAGAACAAAACCTCAAAGGGAATGATTGTAAATTTAATTACTAGTAGCTTTGATATCGAGACATGCTGTAAGGATTAGATCATAGCATTCACTATTTTATTATATGCAAGAACTGAACATCTGAATTGCTCAGATGTCTGATAAAAGGGAGGCACTATTTTGTCCTTTTCTCTTTCTAAACTTCTGGTTGTCAGTTTGAATATGCCCTGATTGTATATGACTTTTAGTTGTTACTTGACTGGTGACAATTTCTTCTCAGGAATAAAATGTGATTTAGGGGGAAAAAATCTTTTTGTATCACAAACCATAATCATATTTCATTCTAATTGGGTATCCTTATAGTGATTTCCTTGGGGACAAATCAAGTCAGAAAACACTTACTGCAATTTGAATTTCAAAAAATAATCTGTGCCCATTTAGTTGGTAGGGCAGAGAACAATTTTCGTATTTTTTATTCTTTAAATATAAAATTATGTTATGTGTCTAAGACCTTCACGACCGTGTGATCATGCAAGAGAAACAATTTTTTTATCAGAGTAATTAAATTTTCAAAGTTGTAAAAAGGACGAGGAATATAAAATTATTATCTTTAGTACCTCAGTCTCACAGTTTGTAGTTGGAGAAATTCATACCAGCACAGTGAGAGCACAAAAATCCCAAAGCAAAATTGCACAGCGGTAATTGTTCAGAATTTTATGTAAATCCTATTTTTTATAAGCAAGCATATCATCCAAAAATTTGTAATGGAATAAGGATTATTTCGGGGGGGGGAGTATTTATGATATTCTCTTTTAAGCTGATGGGACAAGAATATCTGAATTGCATATCCCCAATTTTTTTTAATGTAAGGAAGTATTTAGATGATAAATTAAACACCTTGTAAGTACCACATATATGATTTGGAGAAACAGAGAGACAGAGGAAGAGGAAGAGAGGAGAAAGGGAGTGGAGAAGGAAGGAGGAAGAAAATACCCCAGTTGGATACTAATCCTACTTGTGCTAATAAAACAAGAGATGAATGCGTAAGATATTAATCCTGGGATGAAGTGAGAGGGTAGGACGGGGGAAGTGATCCTTAGTTGAGCTTTGGGGAGGCTCATTCCTGGAGGAGCAGAAAAAGTGGGCGTCTGAACCTCTGAGAATGAAGGAGGAGGTGGCTGCCACTAGAGGCTGCATTCAGAGGCAGTGCCCTAAGGTGAGGATGGTTTGTTGAAGTGAGATGGAAGAGCAGGAAATGAGGAAAGGAAGATGAAGGGGAGGGAAGAAGAGGGAAAGATGAGAGATCTATGAGGAAAAGAGAAAGGGAAGAATTTCTCCAAGCTGCATGGTGTTGCAAAAAGGCCCAGACTTTGGAATAAAGAGACCTGACTTTGAGACTTGGTTCCATTTGCCGGTGTGAGCTTCCCAAGTTAAAATCCAATGACGAAGAATGGCTGTTGTAAGATGGTGATAAAGTGAAGCAGGGCATATGATAAGGTGGAAGTAAAGTTCTTTATTGAGAAAAATGCTAAAATAAATATTAGTTATTACTGAGCAGGAAGAAAGAGAAGGAATAGATAATTTGAGAGGAGGCAAGAAGAGGATAAAAGAAATACGAAGAAAAGGAGGCATGAACAGAAAACAGAGAAGGGCTGGCGGGAGACAGAATTTCTCCTATTGAGTCCTATTGGAGAATATTCTTGTTTTTGTTTTGCTTTCTGGATTACATTCCAATAATCGTTCCTTTAGTTCTACCCCTTCGATGAAGTTGCAGAAGATCAAGCATCTTTAGAACCCACACCTTCTTCAATGAGAGAGAAACCTAGGTTGAATTTGTTAAAGTCTTGTTCTACCATTTTGAACACAGCTGATCTGAGGATTGAATTTAGTAACTCTTAGCGCTGCTTTTCTGTGTAGTTCTCTGGAGAAGGAAGTTTGGTTAGCAGAAGGCAGGAACTGAAGTGATATTTCAGAGCTATATTACCAAACACATTCAGCGAGAATGCTCTGTGCATCTGTAACTTGATAACATTTCAACAGCATCCGCTGTCTGAATGCACATAAGAAAACTTGTTCTGGAAAGAATTTGTGTGTGCTAACAAATATTAGGTTGAGAACTGGAGACTGGGTGAGAGCGATGTGATCGCACACGCACAGAATTTGCGGTTTCCGTGCACAGTCGGCAAGTGCAATGGTTTAATGAATGGAACGATGAATGCATAATTTCATTATGAGTCATCACGATTAAAATGAAAATCTGATAGATACATAAGTAGAAAATGTAGCTATCTTTTACAGACACAAGTGATAATTATATTTTGGAGTATGTAATTTATGCTTTGAATAATACAGTGAGTAAGTGCATTTGCCCTGTTGTGCTATTTTCTAGGAATGACAGAAAAGTTTGTTCAGAAACGGCTTCCTTCCTGTTGTTTTCCTGTGCATGCTGAAGCTGACTCACCCTGAAGTGATCTTCAGTACTACTTTAGGTACACAAAAGGGCTTTCTTTAGGATAAATCCAAATGCTTAGCCCTAGAAATTAAAAGACAATCATTGAAGAAAACCTTACATGATAACAGTATCCAATTTCTGAGTTAGAAAGAAGTGTGGTCTGCATCCCTTTTCATAAAGCTCTTCCTTCTGATTTAAGATTTTTAAAATGTATTAATGAAACCTCAATTTCTCAAAAATTTACATTACAGAGTATATTCACCCGCATCCTAGTTAATCCTCAGTACTTCCTGGAAGGCTGGGCAAATATTGATAACTCCATTTCCATCTAGGGAAATAAAGCATGAGGAAGGTTCAATGATTTCCCCAAGATCATGCAGCCTGTAAGTACATCTTCTAATTCAGAATCCAGGGTTCTTATTCCATGAAAATTTACAACTACCTTCTAATCTTTTTTCGGTTAAAACTTTTCTTTGTGTGATTCAGAAGATGGATTCATTTTTTTCTTTAAACTTAAAAACGGAGAATAGAAAGAGGAGCCACAACCCAGGAGAAAATGTTTGTGAAAGACATATCTGATAAAAGATGGTAATCCAAAATATTCAAAGAGCCCTTAAAACTCAACAATAAGAAACGAACAACCCAATCAAAAGTGTGCAGACGCTTCACCAAAGACAGATATATAGATATAAATAAACAATCTGAAAAGATGCTCCAGATCATATATCATCAAGGAAATGCAAATTAAAACTACAAGTTCTATCTACTTACCAATTATAGTGACCAAATCACCAACACCGACAACAGCAAATGGTGGCAAAGGTGTGGAGCAATGGGAACTCTCATTAGTTGCTGGTTGGAATGCAAATTGGTGCAGCCACTTTGGAAGACAATTTGGCAATTTCTTATAAAACTAAGCAAACTCTTACCATATTGCTAGCTTTGAATATGAGCCCCCAAATTAATGTGTTGGAAGCTTAATTTCCAATGCAATAGCATTGAGAGGTAGGACCTTCAGAAGGCGACTAGCAGGGCTCATGCTGCTATTGTTGAAATGGGTTAGTTATGGCAGGAATGGGTTTCTGATAAAAGAATGAGTTTGTTGCCTCTGTCATTGTTATGCACTTGTGTGCACACAAACATGCACACCACATGTTCTCTTGCCCTTCCACCTTCTACCATCCAGAAAGAATTCCCTCGCCAGATGTGGGCCCTTCAACCTTGAATTTCCTGGCCTCCAGAATTGTATGAAGTAGATCTCTGTTCTTTATAAACTACCCAGCTTCGGATATTCTGTTATACCAGCACAAAATAGATTAAGACATACATGACCCAGCAATCTGGATCCTAGACATTTGACCAAAGGAGTTGAAAACTCATGTCACACAAGAAACCGACACAAGGATATTTAATTGTAGCAGCTTTATTCATGATTGTCAAAATTTGAAAGTAGTCAAGATGACCTTTAATAGTTGAATGAGTGAATAAACTGGTAATTTGTACAATGGAATAGAATTCAGTGCTAAAAAGAAATAAGCTATTACAAGATATGAAATAAC